TAATGGTGAAAAAACCAGTGATAGTCTCAATAGTTAATTCTCTAGGATATCGTTAGTGCATATTCAAACAGACATGTATGGTGATGCACACGGACCATGAAACGTATTTTAGATGATGATCTGAAAAAATTCTGGATCAATGGCGACATCAGGTATTTTTGTTGATATGAGCTGAGCAATTTGTCATGGTGTGATTATTTCAATAAGCCAAATCATTTGACAATTCTCTTTTTCTGCCATTCAGTAGAATACATCAAACAGACATGTCTCTCCAAAAACATGACTTTTCGCAATGAAACCAAGTATAGAGCTTAATATTTCTTTTAACTCACGTGCGGTAATGCATCATGAAGATCCGATGATGTTTGTCTATGTTACTAAAGCTCCTTAATTTTAGCTCAAGCAGGATTGTATGTGAATGTAATAAATGACTCTGGCTGCCCATATGCGCACCGATACTTGTAGCACCGAATGAAGTCATTTGGAAACCCGAATGTACTGACATATATTCTGCAAGAAAAGTTTCTATTTATTAGCTTGATCCTGTAACAACGTTGATAATGGCTTGGGTGGCGACGTTTAGTAGTTTCACTTTGTTCAGGTAATTTCACTTTGCCTCCAGAACAGCAAATTCCAGCTGTTTCATTCTTAAATTTGAGAGCACTACAAAACATACATAATTGATCCGTTCTTCCGATGATGACGCTTGGGTGAAAGACTACAGTTGGTTGTCGGATCATAGTGAAATGCACTAAGATTCAAATCAGAGTATTGGCATACAGCGTCTGAATAGCGAAGTGCGTTCTTGATTGATTTTCATTCTTGCATACCGTTGTTCAAATGTTTCCGACCAACAGGCTTGAGCAATTCGCTCTCGATCGGATATCATTCTTGCTTCCCGTTGCTCTGATATTTCCGACGAACGGGCTTGAGTAGTGCGTAGTTGATTTGTTAACAGTCTTCTTTCCCGTTGCTCTGATGTTTCCAACGAACGGGTTTGAGTAGTACGTAGTTGATTCGTTAGCAGTCTTCTTTCCTGTTGCTCATACGTTTCTAAGGAACGGGCTAAAGCATTGTGTTCTCGATAAGTTTCAAGTCTTTTTTCCCGTTGCTCCGATGTTTTTGAAACACGGGCAGTTCTCTTTTTGCGTGCTTGAGGTGTTGATGGACTAAGAGTGATTCGTTTAGGCAGCATATTTTTGCAAATATTCTCTTTCAAACAAAAAGAAATGTAAAAGTTGAGAGTGGTAGCAAATTTGCTAAATCGAAAATTCACATATTTATTTTAAATAATAAGACAAAGCAATAAAAATGAAATTAATTAAATAATAAATATAATAATGATAAAATTTAAAACAGAAATCTATTTCTTAAATGAAAGAAATAAAATGAATGTGAATTCGCAAACTTTGTAATAATAAACAATCTAATAGTTTTCAAATGACAACTGTCAGCAATGAAACCTTCAAAAACTATATTTAATTGTGCTGACCTAAAATTGCATACTAAATATAAATAATTATTAAAAGCGTGCAATTTGAATAAAATTTGTTTTTGCCTTTGCGACCAATAACTACGAAATCTATTCTCGTTGATTTTACGTGCTTGTGCTCACCTGACATAAAGAACTGGATTATAATTAAATATTAAAGTATATGTAATTTACTTCTCTAAAGGAATAGAGCTATAAGATATAAAATATCACTATTGTTATCTTCAAGATA